TAAATTTGAACCAGACAGCTGCGTGCAATAGGTATAAATATACATACCCCACAAGACAAATAATGAAATGATAGCAGTGCTCAATAATTAAAATATGTGAATATTTATAATCCACCATAAAAAACTTGTGCAAAATTTGTGCCCATAAATAAAAGATCTTCCACTAATATATGAAAAAGAAAAGGAAGCACCTCCTAATTGCAGTACTAAAAAGGATGTTTTAATAGTCCACAGTTAAAACACTCACAAGATATGGTGCGAACAATCACTCATCATAATCATATGGAGAAGGGAGCCCTGACACTTGTCCACGTCCACCATTTTGCTTCTATCGGCCGCAGAGGTCTGGATGTCTCACAGGAATCCGGAAGTCCCTGGAGCCAGTTTGGGGTGCACATGTGGGCAGATGTGACGTCACAGTAGGGAACGATCTGTGCACAGACAAGGCTATGCGCTTGGAGCTAACTGCTCCTTCTAGAGGCCAATATATCACAACCGGTTGTGTGAACAACGCACGTAAACATCAGATGAACAATTTAGGTGTCACTTGTTCGGGCATTCACCATGCAGGAACACCCGCCACACGTGGTTCCTTCACCATATAGGAAGAATGCAAACTCACCGCAATGTTATGCTGTCTAAGGATAGAGCAGCAACATACGCTTGTTACATAGTACCCACTATGATCTCTCTCGCTCTCAAGTTATTAAAACTAAGCTGTACTTCTCCACTCCACCAGGGGTCAGTACCAACACTCACATCCACAAGGAACCATCAAACACAAGAGAAACTCTAACAGTGCAGTATTTAATGGTGACTCAAAACGTATAAACCAGTGGTTCTCAACCTTTCTAATGCCGCGACCCCTTAATACAGTTCCTCATGTTGTGGTGACCCCCAACCATAAAATAATTTTCGTTGCTACTTCATAACTGTAATTTTGCAGTGGGAGGACTAGTGCCCCATCACTGATGTCAGTGGGATGAATAGTGTCCCATCGTTGGTATCAGTGGGAGGAATAGTGCCCCATCATTGGTGTCAGTGGGAGGAATAGTGCCCCATCACTGATGTCAGTGGGATGAATAGTGTCCCATCATTGGTATCAGTGGGAGGAATAGTGCCCCATCATTGGTGTCAGTGGGAGGAATAGTGTCCCATCATTGGTGTCAGTGGGAGGAATAGTGCCCCATCATTGGTGTCAGTGGGAGGAATAGTGCCCCATCATTGGTGTCAGTGGGAGGAATAGTGCTCCATCATTGGCGTCAGTGGGAGGAATAGTGCCCAATCATTGGCGTCAGTGGGAGGAATAGTGCCCCATCATTGGTGTCAGTGGGAGGAATAGTGCCCCATCATTGGTGTCAGTGGGAGGAATAGTGCCTCATCATTGGCGTCAGTGGGAGGAATAGTGCCCCATCATTGGCGTCAGTGGGAGGAATAGTGTCCCATCATTGGTGTCAGTGGGAGGAATAGTGTCCCATCATTGGTGTCAGTGGGAGGAATAGTGTCCCATCATTGGTGTCAGTGGGAGGAATAGTGTCCCATCATTGGTGTCAGTGGGGGGAATAGTGCCCCATCATTGGTATCAGTGGGAGGAATAGTGCCCCATCATTGGTATGAGTGGGAGGAATAGTACCCCATCATTGGTATCAGTGGGAGGAATAGTGCCCCATCATTGGTGTCAGTGGGAGGAATAGTGCCCCATCATTAGTATCAGTGGGAGGAATAGTGCCCCATCATTGGTGTCAGTGGAAAGAATAGTGCCCCATCATTGGTATGAGTGGGAGGAATAGTGCCCCATCATTGGTGTCAGTGGGAGGAATAGTGCCCCATCATTGGTATGAGTGGGAGGAATAGTGCCCCATCATTGGTGTCAGTGGGAGGAATAGTGCCCCATCATTGGTGTCAGTGGGAGGAATAGTGCCCCATCATTGGTGTCAGTGGGAGGAATAGTGCCCCATCATTGGTGTCAGTGGAAGGAATAGTGCCCCATCATTGGTATGAGTGGGAGGAATAGTGCCCCATCATTGGTGTCAGTGGAAGGAATAGTGCCCCATCATTGGTATGAGTGGGAGGAATAGTGCCCCATCATTGGTATGAGTGGGAGGAATAGTGCCCCATCATTGGTCATGGGAGGAATAGTGGGTGGGAATAGTGCCCCATCATTGGCGTTGGGGGGAGGAATAGTGCCCCATCGTTGGTGTCAGTGGGGGGAGGAATAGTGCCCCATCGTTGGTGTCAGTGGGGGGAGGAATAGTGCCCCATCGTTGGTGTCAGTGGGGGGAGGAATAGTGCCCCATCGTTGGTGTCAGTGGGGGGAGGAATAGTGCCCCATCGTTGGTGTCAGTGAGGGGAGGAATACTGTCTCATCGTTGGTGTCAGTGGGGGGAGGAATAGTGCCCCATCGTTGGTGTCAGTGAGGGGAGGAATAGTGCCCCATCGTTGGTGTCAGTGAGGGGAGGAATAGTGCCCCATCGTTGGTGTCAGTGGGGGGAAGAATAGTGCCCCATCGTTGGTGTCAGTGGGGGGAGGAATAGTGCCCCATCGTTGGTGTCAGTGGGGGGAGGAATAGTGCCTCATCGTTGGTGTCAGTGAGGGGAGGAATAGTGTCTCATCGTTGGTGTCAGTGGGGGAGGAATAGTGCCTCATCATTGGTGTCAGTGAGGGGAGGAATAGTGTCTCATCGTTGGTGTCAGTGGGGAGGAATAGTGCCCCATCGTTGGTGTCAGTGAGGGGAGGAATAGTGCCCCATCGTTGGTGTCAGTGGGGGGAGGAATAGTGCCCCATCGTTGGTGTCAGTGGGGGGAGGAATAGTGCCCCATCGTTGGTGTCAGTGGGGGGAGGAATAGTGCCCCATCGTTGGTGTCAGTGAGGGGAGGAATAGTGCCCCATCGTTGGTGTCAGTGGGGGGAGGAATAGTGCCCCATCGTTGGTATTAGTGACACAAATGATGGGGCACTATCCCTTCCACTGACACCAATGATACTTACCTTGCTGACTCCTGCTCCAGCCTGGGCTCGCTCTCTCCCTCTCCCATCTACAGGCAGCATACCTGGCTGCAGCAGCAAAATTTGCACTTACCTGTCAGCTGTCTTCCTTCTCTGGCCTCTCTCTTCACTCGTTCCTGCAGCTCCCTCGATCTTCTTCGATCTCCGCGCGCTGCCGCTCGGCTCCTCCTCTCCAAGCTCCACCTTATCGCCGGTGATTGGCCACCTGTGTGCCTCTCCTGAGCTACAGTTCCGGTGGCCAATCAGCGGCGAGGAGGCGGTGACAGGGGCAGCATATCATCCCGCCCACACATCGCCGGAGACAGCAGCGGTGTCTCGGTTCCTAAGACCATCGGAAATATGTGTTTTCCGATGGTCTTAGGCGACCCCTGGGAAATGGTCGTTCGACCCCCAAAGGGGTCGCGACCCCCAGGTTGAGAACCGCTGGTATAAACAGATACAAATATCCACAAAATGGAAATACAGATGCCACTTGTCACACTTAGGATTTGTTCACACTTAACTAAATTTCTGTCACAAAGAGAAAAAGCATGCAGCGCTAGAATATTGAGATTACCTCGTAATGCAATATGACAAACTCAATGGAGATAAACGCAGCTAGCATATAAGTACTAGTATTTACAACCCATACTGAAACACACTCTTAATCAAACTAAGGTGTACATGGTGACATGGGTGTCAAAGTCAATACATCAATGGAGTAACATAAGGAAATCTGTGACTTTTGTGGTAGGTAGTGTGGCTGTGGAATGCACTAACCAGATAGCGCATTTGATAGCGCATTGGAGTAAAATGACCTACTCCTGGTCACTGGATAGGGAACTCTGCCGGAGTGTTGGTAGTCTCTGCCACAGTCACCAGAAACATCTGTATCGATAAACGTTCATCCGATATGTTGTGGAATCCTTTCTGACAGCAACCTCCAGGGGGTGCAGTGCACGCTCATAAGACAGGAGTCACCTTGCAGGCTCGGAAATAAACCCAAAAAGAGAGGCCTCCGATAGTGTAGTAACTTTTATTAAGGGGTGTAAAAACAAATGAAGCACTTACATGATATATTCACAATTCCAGGTAGGTACAAGAATGGCCGCCCGTATCAAGGTGTGGACCATGTGGACAGTGGTAATAAGTCAAATAGCATCTCCCTAACGCGTTTCGTGGCAATGGCACGTTGTCAAAGGGCTCTTTGACAACGTGCCATTGCCACGAAACGCGTTAGAGATGCTATTTGACTTATTACCACTGTCCACATGGTCCACACCTTGATACGGGCGGCCATTCTTGTACCTACCTGGAATTGTGAATATATCATGTAAGTGCTTCATTTGTTTTTACACCCCTTAATAAAAGTTACTACACTATCGGAGGCCTCTCTTTTTGGGTTTATTTCCGAGCCTTCAAGGTGACTCCTGTCTTATGAGCGTGCACTGCACCCCCTGGAGGTTGCTGTCAGAAAGGATTCCACAACATATCGGATGAACGTTTATCGATACAGATGTTTCTGGTGACTGTGGCAGAGACTACCAACACTCCGGCAGAGTTCCCTATCCAGTGACCAGGAGTAGGTCATTTTACTCCAATGCGCTATCAAATGCGCTATCTGGTTAGTGCATTCCACAGCCACACTACCTACCACAAAAGTCACAGATTTCCTTATGTTACTCCATTGATGTATTGACTTTGACACCCATGTCACCATGTACACCTTAGTTTGATTAAGAGTGTGTTTCAGTATGGGTTGTAAATACTAGTACTTATATGCTAGCTGCGTTTATCTCCATTGAGTTTGTCATATTGCATTACGATGTAATCTCAATATTCTAGCGCTGCATGCTTTTTCTCTTTGTGACTGTTATCTTATGAGGCGTTTTGAGGTTTGCCTTTCATGCGAGCTGCTTTATATATTCTGTTCTAATATCATCCAGCGCTCGTTTTACCCCCTTTTGTTTATTTATTAACTAAATTTCTAACTGTTAACAAGCACTACTTTAGTTATAGTATGGGCATTAGACAGGCGTTAATGAGCTTTAGTATGGGCATCAGACAGGCGCTAATGAGCTTTAGTATGGGCGTTAGACAGGCGTTAATGAGCTTTAGTATGGGCGTCAGACAGGCGTTAATGAGCTTTAGTATGGGCGTTAGACAGGCGTTAATGAGCTTTAGTATGGGTGTCAGACAGGCGTTAATGAGCTTTAGTATGGGCATTAGACAGGTGTTAATGAGCTTTAGTATATGGATGTCAAACTGGCGTTAATGAGCTTTAGTATGGGCTTCAGACAGGCGTTAATGAGCTTTAGTATGGGCGTTAGACAGGCGTTAATGAGCTTTAGTATGGGCATTAGACAGGGGTTAATGAGCTTTAGTATGGGCATTAGACAGGGGTTAATGAGCTTTATTATGGGCATTAGACAGGGGTTAATGAGCTTTAGTATGAACATTAGACAGGCATTAATGAGCTTTAGTATGGGCATTAGACAGGGGTTAATGAGCTTTAGTATGGGCATTAGACAGGGGTTAATGAGCTTTAGTATGGGCCTTAGACAGGTGTTAATGAGCTTTAGTATGGGCATTAGACAGGCATTAATGAGCTTTAGTATGGGCAATAGACAGGCATTAACAAGCTTTAGTATGGGCATTAGACAGGCATTAACGAGCTTTAGTATGGGCGTTAGACAGGCATTAATGAGCTTTGGTATGGGTTAGACAGGGCGTTAATGAGCTTTAGATGGGCATTAAAAAGGCGTTAATGAGCTTTAGTATGGGCGTTAGACAGACGTTAATGAGCTTTAGTATGGGCATTAGACAGGCGTTAATGAGCTTTAGTAATGACAGGCGTTAATGAGCTTTAGTATGGGCAATTAGACAGGCGTTAATGAGCTTTAATGGGCTTTAGTTATGGGCAGTTAGACAGGCGTTAATGAGCTTTAGTATGTGTTAGGCAGGGCGTTAATGAGTTTAGTAGTATGGACAGTAGGCGTTAATTTAGTATGGGCGTTAGACAGGCGTTAATGACTTTAGTATGAGCATTAGACAGGCGTTAATGAGCTTTAGTATGGGGACAGGCGTAATGAACTTTAGTATGGGCAGGCGTTAATGAGCTTTAGTATTGACAGTATACAGGCGTTAATGAGCTTTAGTATTGACAGCAGACAGGCGTTAATGAGCTTTAGTATGGACAGTAGACAGGCGTTAATGAGCTTTAGTATGGGCAATAAACAGGCGTTAATGAGCTTTAGTATGGACAGTAGACAGGCGTTAATGAGCTTTAGTATGGGCAATAAACAGGCGTTAATGAGCTTTAGTATGGGCGTTAAAAAAGCTTTAATGAGCTTTAGTATGGGCAATAGACAGGTGTTAATGGCCTTTAGTATGGGCAATAGACAAGTGTTAATGAGCTTTAGTATGGGCATTAGACAGGTGTTAATGAGCTTTTTTTTTATGTGTGTTAGACTGGCATTTTACAAGTGTTAAAAATGCTCCCCAAATACCCTATGCATGGTTTTGAAGCATTTTATAAGCGTTTTACAAGCATTAAAACCGCACCACAAATGCCTATAATAAACTGTAATGTTATTAACATGCTGCAATCACACTAAAAACACCCCGTAAAGGCCTGCTAGCGCGTTTGTGCAGCAACATCATAATTGAAAGGCTTCAAACTCCTCCAGACGTGACATGAGGCTTCAATTTTGAAGCAACATGACACTAATGCTTCATGATAATTTGAACAGTACTGTGTGCTGTCCATAGTAGCATTTGCATAGGCGTTTGAGGAGCGTTAAAAATGCCCCTCAAACGCTTGCTTTCAATGCCAGTGTGAACTAAGCCTTACATATAGGGCCGTCAGTCCAGCATGGAGTGGTGGCACAACCTCTAGCAATTCTGCTCTGCCCAGTGTTGTTTCGCATGATCACGCTTCCTTAGGGGCTTCTATAATCAGTGTGAAGCAGCCATATTTATGTAGCCTAAGACCAGAGCTTCGAAATATCTAGTTTCTGCGCCATTTTGTTACAGTCCAAAAGAACTAACACAAGCAGCTGCCATTTTCTTGTAGAGCTTAAAGCGGAACTTTACTCATTATTGTTATTATTTACTATTATACAGGATTTATATAGCATCAACAGTTTGCGCAGCGCTTTACAAAATGAAGGTAGACATCACAGTTACAATTTTGTAAATTTGGTACAAGAGGAAACAGAGGGCCCTGCTCGTTATAACAACTGATAAAAAAATTATGTTCTTTAGCAAAGAACATTCATTCCACATTAATAATTATGCAGCCAAAATCAGTGCGTGCTGTAAATTGCAGGTTCCTGTTTCTTCTTGATGGAGGCTGCCATTTTGTTGAAACCCAGAGCCCTTAGCATATGTTAAAGCAGAAGGAAGCTGCCATCTGTTTAACTAGTAGCCGACCGCAGATAGCCGAATGACTGCTGCACTGCGGCCGGTCAGTTTTTGGTGGACGTCATATGACGTCCTCCCAGAACGCGCTCTCCTGCGCTCCCCAGGGGGCGCGCACCCGGCGATCTCCGTGATCGCTGTGTCCTACGGACACAGCTGATGACGTGATGTGGTAAAAGGCCAATCACAGCGGCCTTTTACCACGTGATCAGCGGTGTCCAATGACACGCTGATCACAGGGTAATGCAAGTGCCGGTTCTCGGCTGCACTTTCCTCACGCTGTCAGATCGTGAGGAAAGTACTGCCGAGAACCGGCAGTTGTCAGAGCGGGGATCGGCACCGATCATCAGGGCTCTGATGATCAGTGCCCTGATGATCGGTGCCCAGCAGTGCCACCCGCAAGTTCCGCCCAGCAGTGCGCCCACTAGCTCCGCCCACCCGTGCCCAGCAGTGCACCCACCTGTGCCACTCTGCAGTGCCACCTACCTGTGCCCAGCAGTGCCACCCACCTGTGCCCACCCACCAGTGCTGCCCACCAGTGCCACCCACCAGTGCAGCCCAGCAGTGCTGCCAGTCAGTGCCACCAGTCAGTGCCCAGGGGTTGTGCCAGTCAGTGCCGCCAGTCAGTGCCCAGCAGTGATTCCAGTCAGTGCCGTCTATCAGTACCCATAATCAGTGCCACCTATCAGTGCCGCCTATCAGTGCTGCATATTAGTGCTGCCTATCCGTGACCCCTAATTAGTGCTGTCTATCAGTGCCGCCTATCCGTGCCACCTCATTAGTACTGCCTATCAGTGCCCTTTAGTGCTGCCTATCAGTGCTGCCTATCAGTGCCCATCAGTGCTGCCTCATCAACGCACATCAGTGAAGGAGAAAAAATACCTGTTTGAAAAATTTTATAAAAGAAACAAAGAAACTTTTTTTTTTTTTTTCAAATTTTTTGCAATTTTTTTATTTATAGCGCAAAAAGTAAAGCGCCCAGTGGTGATTAAATACCACCAAAAGAAAGCTCTATTTGTGAGAAAAAAATTATCAAAATTTCATATGGGTACAATGTTGCATGACCGCGCAATTGTCAATCAAAGTGCGGCAGCGCTGAAAGCTGAAAATTGGCCTAGTAAATAAGGGGGTATAAGTGCCTGGTAGGCAAGTGGTTAATCTGCAACTTCCATGGTGATGCACATGTCATCACATAACATAACACCAGTCACTTGATGGCTTGACAGTTTGGTTGCAAACACAAACACGTGACAGTTAGTATTCCTGTTAGTTCCACTTTAATCTTTAAACTGTCAGCAGATTGGACTCTAAAAATTCGGCACAGTGCCTACAAATGCCTATAAGCGGAGAGCAATTGTGCATGTGCAGAGCAGGGTCAGACAGTGTTTTACTGGATTTTAAACAGTATTTGCACTTATTATTAAATTTTACATAGCTATACCTGCAAAAGGAACCAGCCTGAAGTGATCTAGCAAAACTTAATTTTTTGACTAAAGTCAACTGTTTCCCGCCCGCAGTGTACTGCGGCTGGGCAGCAGCTACAGGCAAAGCGACGTACCTGTACGTCATTCTGGCTGTACTAACACAGGGGGGCGTTGCGCACCTGAGTAGGTGTGTAGCGTTCTCCCTCCTCCTGCAACTGCTGTGTGTCATTAGAAAAAATAATGAATTGCAGTCATATTGGTCCACAGACCTGATTCATCATATGCCCATGTTCTCTGCTGTTACATAGATGCCCAACATGGACCAGCAATGTACTGATACATTGCTGCAGCTACAGGCATCATCCTGGAATAGTTTTTCAGCAGGCAGTCAATTTTCATATAAAAGCAATCCTAGTGGTCAATTAGCTGCTAAATTGTTTTTATGACCAGCGGTGCAGGAAGGAACATCCCCCTTCCTCCTTTCACAGTTTTCTTGGGCTCTCCTGTTCCACAGGGGAATCCAAGAATGCAGCCAGCAGATATCCGCTGGCTGACCATAAAGCTGATCAGAAACCAGGATGGTTCCAATCATCTCTATATTCTAAGAAATCAGAAGCTACGAGCATTTCATCACTTCAGTTTCGCAGGATAGAAACAGCTCCAATTGGTAAAGCATCCGATCACACCGATCTTGGTGAGATCAGATGATGTAAGGGCAGAGGAGATATTTAGAGTCTAATAGACCCCAGATTTCTCAAATAAGAATACCTGTCAATGCCTATTGCAGTTAGAGGGGATATTTACATTCCCTGTGATAGCAATAAAAAAAAAGGAAGGGACAGTGTAAAAATAATTTAAAAAAATCAAAATACCTAAAAAAAAGAACCCTTGCTCCCCTGCATGCGCAAGCATTGACCCCATGTTGGTATGTAAACAGCAGTTGCACCATGCATGTGAGGCATTGCCGTGCACATCAGATCAAGGGCAGTAATTCTAGCACTAGACCTCCTGTGTAAATATAAATTGGTGACCTGTAAAGGCGTTTAAAGCATCGCCTATCGATAATAAAGTTGCATGTACTTTGTTGCCATTGCACGGGCATGCGCAATTTTAAAGCATGTCATGTTTGGTATCTATTTACTCGGCGTAACATCATCTTTTATATTTTATCAAACAATTGGGAAATATATTGTGTTTTTTTGCATAAATAATTTCAACACCTAATGTTTTATTCTATAGGGCCTCTGCTTTAAAAAAAAAATATAATGTTTGGGGGTTCAAAGCAATTTTCTAGCAAAAAAAAACAGTTTTTTTTTCATGTGAACAAAAAGTGTCAGGAATGACTTGGTCTTCAAGAGTGGGTGATGTGTTGCATAAGCGTCTAATGTTGGCCATGAAATGCCAGGATAGTAGAAGCAACCCCTCCAAATGACCACTTTTTAGAAAGTAGACACGCCAATGTATTTGCTAAGAGGCATGGTGAGTATTTTTCAGATCTCATTTGTTGCCACATGTTTTTGGAAAATTAAAAATGAAAACAAAAATGAATGTTTTCTTTTCTTTTTTTGTTTTCAAAACCCTGTGACAAAAATTATATCTGTAAAATACTGACCATGCCTCTAATCAAATTCCTTGGGGTGTCTACTTTCCAAAAAGGGGTCATTTGGTGGGATGTTTGTGC